GGTGCTCGCCATGCACTTAGGGGTCAAAGATCCTGGTCTGGAGCTGCGCCGTCAATTGGTCCTCGAGTTTTGTTTAGTTGGGAAGTCTTCGCCAGAGCTCCACGACCGCGTCCGAGCTGCGTGGACGCAGCTTACCCCTCGGCTCTGGCCTGCAAAAACGCGGTGTAATAGGGTGCGTGGGCCCGTCAGCGCGGTGGTCGCCACGCTTTACGAGGCAGGGTGGATCCCGTTCCCCCCAGACTCGTGGCGCCGCCCAACTGAGAACGGGAGCGAGGTTTGGAGATTACCGTGTGCGAGCGAGGCTGGTTCCGAGCAGGGGGATGCCGATTTCACCGAATTGCTCGACGACCTGGTCCAGGGCATTGCGTCCCAGTTTTGGACCCAGGCTGCTTCTCATTATGGTGGTGAGGGGTTGGAGCTTGGGGGAGGGGGCGTTCTCTTGGCGAGTCGTGAAGTTCGCTAGTTTTTGGCAAAGGAAGCTTATGATCTCATAGGCCTCCAGACTGCGGCTGTGTCAGGTAGACAGTTCACTCGAGAAAGACAGGCGGCCCTAGGATATGATGTAGCCACAGTGTGTCCAAGGTGCCAGCAGGGCACAGAGACTCTCTTCCATCGGGTGTGGGAGTGCCCGTGCAATGGTGGTTTCAAAGAATTCGAGAAGAGTGAGTGTATCAGACAGCAGGCCCAGGTGCAGTGGGAGAGTTGCCCAGTGCTGTGGCTTAGAGGAGTGCCGCCTAAGAGCTACACCCATCTCTCGGTTTTTCCAGAAGAAGACCTTCGGTCCCTGGGGCCGCTCCCGATTTCTGAGGTTGAGCCGCATCCTAACTTTGGGAGCGTGGTGGTTTTCGGAGACGGATCGGGGGGGGGGGCCCACAGTGCGGACCCACGTAGACGTAGGTGTGGCGCCGCGGTGATCGCCATGCAGCCTGACGGCCAAGGGGGCTGGGGGCTGGCGTGGGGCTTTTCGACCCCTGTCGGGGGGCAGCGTCAAACGGTCCCTCGTGCGGAGCTGCTCGCGTTTGCCATCGCGTTAGAGCATGTCCCCGAGCGGTTTCTGTTTGTGACTGACCACGAGCCCCTCATGAAAGCACGGGGGAGGGGTCGGCAGTTCCATAAGAATGGCGCACATCAAGATTAGCGGTCTCGAATTCGGGTGGCCTTCCAGACTCGGTCGTCGGAGGTGAACCTGACGTGGATCCCTTCCCATATGGACGAAGCCACCTCTCTCAGCGATCCGATCGATCCCTACCTAATTCAGGGCAACGCCCTGGCCGATGAAGAGGCGGGGGCGGCGGCGGGGAGAGGGTGGGCGGTGTCGGTGGAGGGGGGTGAGCCTCAGGCTGACCACTGGGGTGCGATCGGCACCCTGGTTCGAGCGCGCGCGAGGCGCGCGTTGGCCCTGGTTGCGGAGGCTGACCCATGGAGTGGAGCGCGGGCCACTGTGCAGCGGGGGCCCCCCCTTCGAGGAGGCAGCTCGCGCTGCAGACCTCCAGCCGCCGCTTCGAGCAAGCCGAGGGCGCCTGGAGGTGCAGTCAGTGCGATATAGTAGTGCCGCCAAGACCCAGTGCCGAGGCCTCCCTGTCCAGGGAGTGGGGGCGAGTGGCGGGGGCTTGGCGGCTGGCAGGGATGTGCACCCCTCCCATGCCGTCCAGCGGTGGGAGCGTTACCTCATGAGTTTCTGCACCGCGTGTGGCAAGTACGCCACGGTCGGTGGGCGCCACCTCGCGGCGAAATGCGAGGGCTTGTCCCGCAAAGGCCGAGAGAATTTAAGCCGCATCGAGGGGGGCAAGTACCCCCGAAGAGAGGGGGTGCCGAAGCCCTTGCAAGCTGCCCTCGATGCGCGCGAACGCGGCGGCCTGGAGAGGTTGTGCGCACGTGCTGCTGTGCCCGAGGGTGGGGGCGGTGGGCCGTCCGCCTCCGCTGGTTAACCGGCCCTCCCTCGGAGGGCTTGCTGGCCAGTGGGAGGTGCGGGGGTGTGGCGGTGAGGTGGGGTTCCGCCTGCACCAAAGCACCCCCGTTCGGGGTCCGCTTTCCTCCCCCTTCCCCCCCCTCCCCCTTCCCCGCACAACCCTGTGCTTGGTCAAAAGGTCCAAAAGGTCCTCCTTGTCCTCGTCCTCCTCCTCCTCCTCCTCCTCCTCGTCCTCCCCCTCCTCCTCGTCCTCCTCGTCCTCCTCCTCCTCGTCCTCGTCCTCTTCGTCGTCGTCGTCCTCCTCGTCTTCCTCATACTCCTCGGCCTCCTCGTTCTCCTCGTTTTGCTCGTCCTCCTCGTCGCTCTCCTCCTCCTCGTCCTCCTCCTCTTCCTCCTCCTCTTCGCCCTCCTCCTCGTCCTCCTCCTCCTCCTCCTCGTCCTCCTCCTCCTCGTCCTCCTCCCCCTCCTTCTCCTCCTCCTTCTCCTCGTCCTCTTCGTCGTTCTCGTCCTCCTCCTCGTCCTCCTCGTCGTCGTCCTCCTCCTCCTCTCCCTCCTCCTCCCTCCTCGTCCTCCTCCCTCCTCCCTCGTCCTCCCCTCCTTCTCGTCCTCCCTCCTCCTCCTTCCTCCTCGTCCTCCTCCTCGTCATCCTCGTCCCTCCTCGTCCTCCTCCTCCTCGTCGTCCTCCTCCTCCTCCTCCTCCTCGTCCTCCTCGTCGGTCCTCCTCGTCCTCGTCCTCCTCGTCCTCTCGTCCTCCTCGCCTCTCCTCCTCCTCGTCTCCTCGTCCTCCTCCTCCTCCTCCTCCTCCTCTCCTCGTCCTCCTCGTCCTCCTCGTCCTCCTCCTCCTCGTCCTCCTCGTCGTCCTCCTCCTCCTCCTCGTCCTCCTCCTCCTCGTCCTCGTCCTCCTCCTCCTTGTCGTCCTCCTCGTCCTCCTCCTCCTCCTCGTCCTCCTCATCCTCGTCCTCCTCCTCGTCCTCCCCTTTCGGCCCGGCCAGCCAGAGAATTCGCTATCCACCTCTGCCTGGCTCCACCCGTGTCCTGCCTTCCGATGGCAGGGCTGAGACGAGGTTGGGCAGGCTTCCAGCCGATGCCCGTCGGTGAGATGCTTGGGCAGATCCGATCCGATCTATCGATTAGTTGCCGATGCCGCCTGCCCTCGTTTTCGAAGATCGAAGAAGAAAACACCACACGCATAAGCTTCCGGAGCTCCGCGCGGATTTCGGCTCCCCCCCTTGCGGCGTCTTTGGCGTTGCCTCTGGTGTGTTTTACGCGTCAGGGAGAGGGGGTTAGTGCCGATTTAAGGAATTCACGCGGACCTCCGACGGTTCCTGTTGATGTTCTTTGTTTGTTTGTTTGTTTGTTGTTGTTGTTGCTGTTCTTGTTGCTGTTACGGTTGCTGTTGCTGTTGTTGTTGTTGTTGTTGTTGTTGTTGTTGTTCTTGTTGTTGTTGTTGTTGTGGTTGTGGTTGTGGTTGTTGTTGTTGTTGTTGTTGTTGTTGTTGTTGTTGTTATGGTTGTTGTCGTTTTTGTTGTTTTTGCTGTTGCTGTTGTTTTTGTTTTTGTTGTTGTTGATGCTGCTGCTGCTGTTGTTGTTGTGGTTGTTGTGGTTTTTATTATTGATGTTGTTATTATTATTGTTGTTGTTGTGGTTGTTGTTGTTATTATTGTTGCTGTTGTTGTTGTGGTTGTTGTTGTTGAAGTCTCATTTCTGAAGAATAATTATTGTTGACCCCCCCTCACCGGTGCACATTGTTTTTGTCAATCAAAGTGTGCCCCTCGACGCTCGCACCCTGTTTTTTGACAGGGAAAGTCTTAGTGAGCTCAAACTGGGCCTTTGGCCCCCCGGATTACAACAACAACGGCTCCCGCTTGATATTTCCTCTTAATTTACTCAGGACCCCCGCTCCTGAGACTTCCTTACAATTTACTCAGGATCGGTGCTCCCGCCTGTGACTTCCTCGCAATTTAGTCAGGACCCCCGCTCCCATCTGAGACTTCCTCACGATTTACTCAGGAACGGCGCTCCCGCTTGAGACTTCCTCGCAATTGAATCAAGACTTCCTCGCAATTTAATCAAGACCCCCGCTCCCGCCAGAGAACCCTTCACATTTTATTCAGGAATTGCGCTCGTGCCTGTGACTTCCATGCAATCTATTCAGAAATCGCACTTTCGACGCTCAGGAAACACGCCGCGCCAAGGACGCCGTTACAATTTATTCAGTAATCGCTCTCTCGCCATACACAGGCATCCCGCTTGAATGTCCCACCCGCCCGACCCGCCCGTCAGGGGATCGCCCGCCCGTCGTGGGCTCCCGCCCGAGACTTCCTTCAGGAACGGCTCTTTCGCCTGGGACTTCCTCGAATGTTCACGCTCTTACCTTCCTGCTCCTCCTCCCTCTCCCTCCTTCCTCCTTCCTCCTCTCCTCCCTTCTCTCTCCCTCCTCTCTTCCCTCATCCTTATGCCTCTCTGCCCTATCCCCTCTTCCTCCTCTCCCTCCTCCCTTCTCCCTCCCCTCTCCTGCCTCCTTCCTCCCTCTTTCTTTCTTTCTTCCTCTCTCTCTCTCTCCCCTCTCTCTCTCTCTCTTTCTCTACCTCTCTTATATGTCTTTCTTTCTTTCTTTCTCTCTCTCTCTCTCTGCCTTTCCCCTCTTCCTTCGTCCCTCCCCCTCCCTTCCTCCCACTCTCCCTCGTTCTCCCCCTCCTTATTTTGCAGGGCCCACACCACTTCCAATGGAGGGCACATGTACGCCCACGAAGGATTGTCCGCCCGTTCAGGTTTGCCCGCCTGTCTAAGCCCGCCGACTCCCCTGCAAAGAGAAATAATCCTCCCAAAGTGGGTGTGATCGAAGACAACAAGGGCGGGTATCGAGGGTGTGGGGAACTCGTTTTGAATGGCACGCGGGCAAGTAATAACGAACAGTCTTATAATGATTGTTGTTGTTGTTGTCGTTGTTGTTGTTGTTGTTGTTGTTGTGGTTGTTGTGGTTGTTGTTGTTGTTGTTGTTGTTGTTGTTGTTGTTGTTGTTGTTGTTGTTGTTGTTTGTAGTTGTTGATTTTCCTCTTCTGGAGGCCGGGCAGGGCGACCGCCCCGCGAGGCCGGGCGAAGCCGAAGCCGCGGCCCAAGCCCGTGGTTGCGCCCGACAAGCTGCTGCCGCAGGAGCGCCCCCCCCCCCCCCCACTGATGGGCTTGCTCACCACCACCACCATGAGTTGGGAGGAGGTCCCCTCCCCCCTCGTCCTCCACCTTTTCTCCTCCTCCTCCTCCTCGTCCTCTCCTCCTCCTCCTCCTCCTCCTCCTCCTCCTCCTCCTCCTCCTCCTCCCCCCCCCCCTCCTCCTCGTTCTCCTCCTCTCCTCCTCCTTCTCCTCGTCCTCGTCCTCCCCCCCTCCTCATCCCTCGCCTCCTCCTCCTCCTCCTCCTCCTTCTCCTCCTCCTCCTTCTCCTCGTCCTCGTCCTCCTCCTCCTCCCTCGTCCTTCCCCCCTCCAACTTGTGGTGGTGGCGGTGGGATGCAGGCCCATCGCCCACGGCCCGCCCGCGGCGGCCCGCCGGCCGGCGGCGGGCACCGCGCGCCGGAGCTCCCCCGGAGATCCAGCGGACAGGCCGCGGAGACGCCGGGCGCCCCGACGCCTTCCCGCCCGCGCGGGGGACCTGCGGAGGCCACGCGGACGAGGAGGGGCGCGCCCTCCTCCCCGACCCAGAGGTCCAACGCAGTGAAGGGATCAAGGCGGAGGTTTTTCCCAACTTTGGGCTTCCAGGGAACAGCTGGTCCTGGGGAAGGGTTCGAGGTTTGCGGGGGCCGCGCATTGAAAAAGCACGAGAAATGGGCAGCACAGCCCCTCGGGGCTCGAGAGACGGGGGTCAATACAGACGGGGGTGAGTCAGAGTGCCAGATATTGCAGGATCCTGCAGGGCCAGGGCTGCATTGGCCCCGCTTGGGGTGCAGGATCCTGCAGGTTCCTGCAGGATTTTGCAGGATCCTGCAAGGCCCGACTGGCCCAGGTTTGGGCTGACCTGGGTCAGAAGATCTCCGAACTCCCCCCCCCCCTCTCGGTACGATCGACATGTCGGCCACGCGCAGGGGGGGGTAAGCGGGAGGGGGGAAGGCTTTTCAGAAGCATCCCTGCATCTTAGAAGGCGCGGGCTTTGTCTGTAGAAACACGGCCGGCGCCTTCTAAGAAGCAGCCTCCTTCTAAGAAGCCTTCCGCCCTCCCCTACCCCCTGTGCGCGCCGCCAAATGGGTACGGGAAGATCCGGAACGAAGACTGGGAGCATTTCCTATTTATTTGGACTGGGATTTGCTGTCGATGCCGCCCTGGCTGTGCCCTGTCTCCTTGATGCAGAAGGCCGCTTGCCAAACAGCGGCCGCTGTCGGTTTTGGACAACATGTGTTTGAGCATCGTGCCCCATTGTGTCCGTACCCATTTCGGGCGTCCCCCCCCACCACCCCCAGCCAGGACCCCCACTCCAGGACAGGTGATTCAGAGAGGCTAGGGTGGGGGTGGGGGTGGTTTTTGGTCTCCAAGACAAGAACCCCCAGAAACCCACCCCCACCCCCAGGTCGGGAGTGGGCGTCCTGCCAGGGGGTTGGGGTGGATTGTGTGCTGCATCCAGAATTCCGGACAGAGAGGCGTGGCGCGGTGGCGTGCTGCATCCCGATGTCCAGGACACGTGAGTGAGGACGTCGCCCTGGTTTTGGTGTCTGCTGCGTGGCGCTGAGACGGGTGTGGGTTGCTCCCCTCGGGAAAAGGGAGGGGACTCGAGCCCGCGGCCTCGCTGCTATGCATGGGGGTCTGGTCCGGGGGGGGGAATGCCCTCATGAAGCCTGCTGTCAAGTTGACACCGCTTCCGCCTGGCCGAACTCCCCTGGGCGGCGGTGGCAGCTGATCGTAGGCACGGCGGGTTCTCCCCCAAAAACAGAGGGGAGGGAGAGGGGGGGGAGCCCAGCCCAGCCCAGCCCAGCCCGCCCCAGCCCGACCCAAGCCACCCAGTCCAGCTAGAACTAGGCGGGAGGAGAGAAGGGAGGGAGGGAGGGAGGGAGGGAGGGAGGGAGAGAGGGAGGGAGGAGGGGGAGGAGGAGAATGAGTTTTGGTTCGTTGGGTTTTGTCCTCCCAGCGAGGCGGCATTGTGGAGGCGCGGGCACGGCCCCTTTCGCAGAGGGCAGCAGGGCCGAAGGACGGCGACTGCCGCGACCCCGCAGCGTCTGCTCAGGGGAAGGCAAGGCACCGCCTGCGAGGCTGGAGGACGAGGAGGGGGAGGACAGGGGACGGACCGAAGAACGCCTGACTGAGCCTGGCCCCGCGTTTTTCCTAGGTCCACGGAGGAGGAGCCGCTCCTTGGCCTTGGAAGCGAACGCGATGGAGAAGAGGGGAAGGCCCGGGGAGGGGGGCCTAACGGCGACTCCCTCCCACGGGCAGCCCGCCCGTACTCCCAGCCGCCTCGTGTCAGCGCAGGGCGCAGCTGCGAGACTGAGAGAACGGAGGGAGAGGTGGTCACCCCAGGAGGAGCAGTGATTTGTACTACTCGGCTCTCAATGGCTTGGCCCAGAATGACGCCTCCTCCTTCTTTCAGAAACTTGCCAGCGCGGCCGCCTCTGCGCAGCCAGCCTCCCCCAGTCGCGAGCTCAGTATCGCCCTTGTGCTGGCCTCCCGCTCAGGCGGAGCGTCCGCTTGGCGAGCGCGCCAGTAGGCTTGCCGCGTGGCCTCAGTCCGCTCGCGTGCTGCAAGTACGTGGAAAATGGGCCTGTGTGCAACACTGGCGACGAGCCCAACTTGACAGTGGTGGGTGTCCACGCTCACCGATATAGGCACCCGCAGTCTCCGGGAGGCTCCCGCATGCCTCTGGCGTTCAGCTCGAGCAGGGGCCCACCGTCCGGGGCCCAGGGAACTCCCTTAGATCCGAGTAGGCGCGAGGATTCCGCTTGCAGCTCGCCCCGCTGGTGAGCCGACAGGATGTCCGCGGTATGGTCGCCACGCGGACCCAAACCCCTGGAGTGTGGCGTTCGCCCCCGGAGCCCATCGAGGGCTGCAATCATGGAGTGAAGGGCGAGGGGCTGCGCGAGCTCAGGTGAAGCCGGATGGCTACGGAATGCCGGTGTCCGTTCTAGCCCAGGCCCAGCCTAGCCCAGCGAGGACCAGGAGGGAGGGAGGAAGGGAGGAACATCGCGTGGTGGCACTGGTCATAAAGGTCAGAGCGGCGATACGAAGTTACCCCAGTCCCAGCACCCCCGTCCCTCGCCCGGGCTTCCGATCCAGCCAGCTCTCGAGACCCCCCATCCCGAGGGGAAGAGGGAATCGAGAGTGGAAGGACAGAAGAGAGGAAGGAGGGGGGATGTTTCAAGCTAAGCCCACGCCCGCCCAGCCCACCCACCCAAGCCCAGCCACAACCCCAGCTCCGCCCAGCCCAGACCCATTCCAACAGATGACGGGATGGAGGGAGGGGAGAAGGGAACACAGCCCATCCCAGGCCATCCCAACCCTGTCTTCAGAGAGGGAGGGCGGGACGGAGGGAGGGAGGGAGGGGAGGGCATTTTGGCGACAACACATGTCTCACTTTGGTTGCGCCACCTGCAGGATACCGCCGGCAACAGGGAGGAGAAAGGAGGAGGAGGAGGAGGAAGAAGAGGAGGAAGGAGGGAGGGAGGGAAAAGGGAAGGATGGAGGAGGGATGAGTGAGGTTGAAACTGGGTTTCCTCCAAGCCGACGGCGCCGATGCATGACCGACGTCGCCAGTGCATCGCGCAGTTGGCGCTGCGGCGCCCATGCGTCGGCGATGCGGCGCGATCCCCCGACCCTATCGATTCGGACCCTATTTCGGACACATCTATTCTCAGAGGTGCCAGGGAGCTTCCGAAACGCTCCTCAGGAGCTCGAAGGGCTTCTGAAAATCCACCCGGCCTTCTCGGAAGGACGCTCCCCTCTCGCCACCCCCTCCTGCGCGCCGCCAACGCACCGTGTTCTTTGATGAGTGCCAGGGACTAAAAGGTGCCACCCCTGAGCATCGTTTGTCCTGTCCCCGTCCCCACCTGTGCGCGGCTTTCGGGGGGCCCAGGGGGCCAAGTCCAAACGTGCAAGCTGGTGCTGTCGCATCGCGCGCAGTTGTTTTTCAAGCTGCGCTCGAAGGGTCACTCTTGCCTAGGGTCACATTCGCGTGCGGCCGAGGGGGCCCCTTTCCAGTCGTTGCGCAGAGTGTGGAGTGTCACAGGGAGGGCGTAAGAATTACCCAGGAGATGTCTTGGGCCATCCTGGACGCTCCAATCGGTCGCGGGGCGCCCCCTCCAGCTCCAGGGGGAGGGGGTCGGGGGAGGGGTCGAGACACCCTCCTAGATACCAAGCCGTCTATCTCACTCCCACCCGCCCTCCCAACACATAAGTAACACCCGAGCCGCAGCATGCTCAGTGGTCGGTCGTCTTTGGATGGACAGCTACTGGGAAGCCAAACCGAGCCCACGTGCGCGACGCTGGGGCAAGGTGCGCCACGCGCGCCACGCGTGCCAGGCACCCTCGGGGCCCGAGAGGCGCCACGTGCTTCCGCGGGTGCTAGTTGTGCCGCGTACTCCAGCCGCGCCAGATGCGCCACGTTCGGGGCACTTGCAGAGTGTGTCAGGTGCGCCTGCGGACGTGACAGCACACAGCGGGAAACATGTCGGCCTTCGCCATAAATGTCGAAAACCAATGCCCATCATTGTGTTTGGTGGGCCTGCGTACAGCAGGCCATGAACCACCACTTGACAGTTATTGGGGGGTGGCCGTGCATGATGCAGATTTAGCCGCGAGGTGCATCCTGTATTGCTTTTTGTCAGGGATGGCAGCTCTGCGCGTAGCAGGCAATGTGCTGATACCCCCGCCGTGCCTGTCAAAAAAGAAGGATGCAAGGTGCTCGCGGGCTTCACGAACATGACTCCAGACTCTGCCCCAAAGTGTTCTTGGCATTTCTTTTTTGAAAGGGATGGTGGGGGGGAGCCCTCGTGGGGTCCTCACTGTTCCTGGTTGGCTGCTAGTCGCCCGGGGGAGGGGGTGTACATTACTGGGGAACAGATGGTAATTGGGAAGAGATGGAAGAGAAAACACGCCAGAGCACCCACGCCCAGAGGGCCGGTGGGATCCCCCCGGGAGCGGGGGCATCGGGCCCACCCTATATTGGCGCCCCCAGGGCCACGTGCGGGCTCGCGCTGGTGGCTGGAACTTGTGGCCGCCGCGGCGCCTCGCTGGGGAGAGCGCGGCCGCTGCGAGGCCTCGCCGGGGGCTTCGCAGAGAGAGCGGTCGAATTCAGGGGACTCGAGCTGTAACCCCTGCACCAAGGGAATCGAACTGCAACCACCCACAAAGGGCACCGCTCTGTAACCTTCATACAGGAGGGATATATATATTATATATATATATATATATATATATATATATATATATCAGAGTGAGGGGGCCGAACGGTCATTCACTGTCCCTGGGTGCGTGGCTGAAGTGGGATTCCGCGGTGCGGATTCGTGTTGAACATTATTTATTCTAAAGAATAATTATTGTTGGGCCCCCTGGTGCGCGCCCCCCCTGCGCCGCCTAGGCCGCAGCTACATTTTCATCATTTTCGTGAGGAAGCCTCAGAAAAGAGGGTGTGTACAGGATCCGGTTGTTTTGTTGTAATCCGCTTTCCCTTGCAAAAAACAATAGAAAATGACATTTCTTGTTCTAATATAATCAAATTTCAAGAATCCCTTGCAAAAAATAAGGTAAAGTGGACATTCGCGCGCGCAAGACGAAATCCTTCCAAAACCTTAGTGTTCGCAGCGATTTTAACATAAAAACATCAAAAAACCAATGGTTTTTCAACAAAAAAATGTCAAAATCTCATCCCGCGCGCTCTTGCGGATTCGTAGGAAACCCAACACTTTTTAAACATTTCTGTCAAACGGGCTTTTGCGAGCAACTTTTTCGAACTTCTGCGACAACGGTTGCGCACCTGCCAGGGCCATCATCCCTGTCAAATAATACCATGCGGGACACATTCGTTTTTTCTTCGCGCGCGCACGCCGAATCTGAGGGATGTGTTCATTTATTCCCACATCCCTCAGGAATTTGCCCTAAAGATGTGATCAACTATCTTGTGAGTACGTATCATGTGTATCATGTGTATCATGTACCATATGCATCATATGCAACAGATGTTCTGTGGAAGGCTTAACAACTTCTGTGGGTTAACAAGGCTTAACAACTTCTGTGGGTGTACGAACGTAGGCTTAACAACTTCTGTGGGTGTGTACTCCACGCCAGTGTAGTAGCCACGGTCGTCCGCAGGCCACGAAGTGAAGTGTCCGAACGTCATAGGGCGGGAAGCTGGGTGTGGGTGGTGGCGAAGAGTCGTGTGGATATTTGGTAGAGCTTGCACTGCCCCCCCACAAAGTGGGGGTATTGGCTGGCCCGCATGAAAACCCTGGCACTGGTGAGAACACTGAGCGTTCGGGTAAAGTGATTGTTGTTGTTGTTGTTGTTGTTGTTGTTGTTGTTGTTGTGTTTGTTGTTGTTGTTTGTTGTCGTCGTCCCACCCGCCACCCGCCCCGCGACCCCCGGCGACCCACCCCGTGACCCACCCGCGACCCACCCGCGACCCACCCGCGACCCACCCGCGACCCATCCCGCGACCCATCCCGCGACCCACCCGCGACCCACCCGCGACCCACCCCGCGACTCACCCGCGACCCACCCGCGACCCACCCGCGACCCACCCGCGACCCACCCGCGACCCACCCCGCGACCCACCCGCGACCCACCCGCGACCCAAACCACGTTCAAGGTGCAAACCAACATTTTCGGCGCCTGCGGCGGGCTTTTTTTGCATTCCTTCCAGGTGGAGAGCCCGCGACCCACCCCGCGACCCACCCCGCGACCAACCCGCGACCCAAACTGCGTTCAGGGTACAAACCACATTTTCGGCGCCTGCGGCGGGCATCTAGGTGGAGAGACCGCAGCCCACCCGCGACCACGTTCAGGGTACAAACCAAATTTTTCGGCGCCTGCGGCGGGCATCTTGTGCATTCGTTCCTGGTGGAGAACCCGCGGCCCACCAGCGACCCAAACCACGTTCAGTGTACAAACCAAATTTTTCGGCGCCTGCGGCGGGCTGCTTTTGCAGGAGGACGAGGAGGAGGAGGAAGAGGAGGAGGAGGAGGAGGAGGAGGAGGAGGAGGGGGAGGAAGGGGACGACGACGACGACGACGACGACGTCGACGACGACGACGACAAAAAGGAGGAGGGGGGAGGATCGGGAGGGGGGGAAGAGGAGGAGGACGACGAGGAGGATCATGACGACAATGGGAGGACGATGATGGAAGGACGAGGGGGGGAGAGGGAGGACGAGGAAGAAGAGGAGGGAGGAGGACGAGGTGGAGGAGGAGGACGACGATGACGATGAGGACGAGGACGAGGACGAGGAAGAGGAGGAGGAGGAGGAGGAGGAGGCGGAGGAGGAGGAGGCGGAGGAGGAGGAGGAGGAGGAGGAGGAGGAGGGGGAGAAGGAGAGCGCCATCGACAGGGAAGGTGGGGGCCACGAGGTCCGCCGGCTTGACGACGCCCGCGTCGCCCGCGCCCGCCCCCTCACTCTTATCCGCAATTGCGGGGTGTATATATATATATATATAGATAGATATATATATATATATATAATATATATATATATATATATATATATATATATATATAATATATATGTGCAACCGCTCGTTCGTGTCCCGAAGCCGCGGAGGAGGAAAGAGGTTGAGCAGGAGGAGAATGACGCCATGCCTGTTTTCCTTCAAAAAACGCAAGGGGCATCTGTGGTCGAAAACTGGCCCACTCCGGCACAGTTCGGGCCAGTTCCGCTCCGTCCCGCGCGACGAGAGGGGGGGGAGACCCAGACCGCGCCGCGGGCCCCGCGGCCCCGCGACCCGCGGCGGCGGGGCCCACGGCGAGTGCGAGCGGTCGGCGAGGCCCCCCCCTGCGGGGCATCTCTCGGGCGGGGCTGGGCCGAGGATGTGAATCCGTTCCAGAGCGTTCCCGAACGCTCTCAGAGCTTTCTCGAACGCTCCGAGGAGGCCGCGGCGCCCGTTGTATCCTCCAGAGCTGCTGCATCTCAGAGAGGCCGGGGTCAGTGCAAGCTGGGGTCAGCCAGGGCGCCGGATCGTGCAGGATCCTGCAGAGCCTGGGGTGCATTGACCCGGGTTTCAGTTTAGGATCCTGCAGGATCTTGTATGGTTTTACAGGATCCTGCAAAGTCTGACTGACCTGGGTTTGGGTTGACCTCGGGTCAGAAGATCCTCGAATTAACCCCCCCCGAATTCATCCTTGCCCTGGCTTCGTCTCGCGTCTCGATTCGTGGGCGCTCCAGCGAGGCCCCCAGAGGCCTGCAGACCGGCTGCTCGGGGTTCCTGGCGTTCACCCTGTGTGTGTGTGTCCCATGGCCAGCGCAGTGACTCTGCCTAGCCGCCGATGGACAAAAAGGGTGTGTGTGTGTGTGTGTGCGCGCGCGCGCACTGGAGCGTCGGGCGCCAGGATCGGCGGCGGTTCGAGTGGGACCATAAAAGCTGCAATCGAAGGGTCGAGGATCGATCGATCGAGGATCGAGGATCGATCGAGGACTGAGGATCGAGTGAGGATCGAGGACGGGAAAGCGGCGCAACACACAAACTTTTTGGAGCTCCGCGCGTACCTCTCGGGTGCGCGCTGGACCCCTTTGCCTGGCGCGCGGGGCGCGCCAGGGGCTGCGCCGAGGGCGCCGGCAGGGGGCCCCAGCGCAGATCCGAGAAATCCGCGCGGAGCTCCACAGTCTGCGTGTCTGTGGCGCTTTCCTCGCAGGCGAGGGCGGGCGGCACGGGCAGCGAGCCGATCCGGCTCGCCTCGCACCGGCCCGAGCACTGCACCGGCGGGCACCGGCCGGCAGCCTGCCCGATCGCTCGGTCTCGGCCCCCGGGTGCGAGGGGCAAGGGCTCCCTCGAGGGCGCGAAGTTATTCGCGCTTCGCGCTTCGCGGTCCTCGTTCCTTCTCCCCCTCCTCCTCGTCCTCCCATTCTCCTTCTGGGAGGGCGGCGCGAGAGCGCGAAGTTGTTCGCGCTTCGCGCTTCGCGCAGCGCGGAGCGCGAACTTAGGAGCCCTTGAAGGGGATGGCCGGGGTCGGCCCTCCCGCCCCGTCCGGCTCTGGCTCCCGTCTTCGGGCCGCTCGCCGGCGCCGGGCGCGGCTTCCGCTTGCGGTCTCGGGTTCTGCTCGCTTCCGCTTCCCGGCATCAGGAGGAAAAGAAGCACACACAGACACAATTGATCGTCGATTCCCCAGGAAAATCTGGGGAAATATGGGAAGGGGGGGGGGCAGGCAGAAACCCAGAAAATATGGGAAAATATGGGGAATATTTTTATTTGTGTGTATTTATTTGTGTGTCCTGGGGCCCCTTCACTGCATTGGCACCCCCTTGCCCCATGCATCGTCACAACATGGGTATCGCCCGCCGATCTCTGGCGACGGGACCTTGGGGGAAGCGATGCCGTCGAGGCCGACACCCGTCGCCAGGACCATGCTGGGTGGCAGCTCTTTGCATGACCGGGCGAAAAGGGACGCTGCTCTCTCTCCAGGATGTGCTTTGCAACTGCTTCTTCTCCAAGTCCCTCAATCCGCTGAGGCGGAAGCAGTATCGGTGGTGATAGCTCGATCGGCCCCACGGTGGGGAGCATGTCATTACCAACACTGTTCTTCCGACCCTCACGTGTATTGGATGGCTCGAGTCGTGATTGTGGCAACATGCAGCGCTGGAGCAACGTCCGACCGTGATCTTGCAAGTATGCAGTTGGACTGGCAGGTGGAGAGGGAAGGGGTATGAGGAAACGGGAACGGACACAGTTCGGCACGCTAATGCTGAGCACCAGGAGGGAACTACTGAGCCGTAAGCCGAAATTGTGGGCTTCAGACCCACCAGAGGTAGTAGCCAGGCACGGCTGTCTGCGAGAGCGATATGGGTCCCCTCCCAGTTGCAAGAGCAGGGCTGGACCTAAACGCTTTTTTGGTGGACTTCGGCTGTGTTTTGTTCCCAACCATCCTGTGATGTTGGGTCCTCGGTTTGAAGAGACGGTCACCACGTTCTTCCTTCCTTCCTCCTTCCTTCCTTCCTTCCTTCCCTTCCTCCCCTCCCTCCCTCCCTCCCTCCCTCCCTCCCTCCCTCCCTCCCTCCCTTCCTCCCCCCCTCCTCTCTCCTTCCGTCACCCCCCTCACTTTGGCACACCACTCACACGTTTCGTGGCCCCATAGGGAGCTCCATCGAAGGTCCCAGTGGCACCGCCCGCATGCGTCAGCCACCACCCAGCACAGCGCTTCGTGGCCCCATAGGGAGCTCCACAGACGCCCCCCGTGGCACCGCACGCATGCGTCAGCCACCACCCAGCACAGCGCTTCGTGGCCCCATAGGGAGCTCCACCGAAGGCCCCAGTGGCACTGCCCGCATGCGTCAGCACCACCCAGCACAGCGCTTCGTGGCCCCATAGGTGGCTCCACCGAAGGCCCCAGTGGCACCGCCCGCCTGCGCCAGCCACCACCCAGCACAGCGCTTCGTGGCCCCATAGAAGCTCCATCGAAGGTCCCAGTGGGACCGCCCGCATGCGTCTGCCACCACCCAGCACAGCGTTCGTGGCCCCACAGTGAGCTCCAGCGAAGGCCCCAGTGGCACCGCCCGCATGCGTCAGCCACCACCCAGTACAGCGCTTCGTGGCCCCATAAGGAGCTCTACCGAAGGTCCCAGTGTCACCGCCCGCATGCGTCAGCCACCATCCAGCACAACGTTTCGGGGCCCCATAGTGGGCTCCAGCGAAGGCCCCAGTGGCACCGCCCGCATGCGTCAGCCACCACCCAGCACAGCGTTTCGTGTCCCCAGAGAGAGCTCTACCGAAGGTCCCAGTGGGACGGTCCCAGAGGGACCGCTCGCATGCGTCAGCCACCACTCTGTGCAGCGTCTCGTGGCCCCATAGGGAGCTCCACCGACGGCGTCAGCAACCACTCAGTACAGCGTTTCGTGTTCCCATCGGGAGCTCCACCGAAGGTCCCAGCGGGACCGCCCGCATGCGTCAGCCACCACCCAGTGTAGCTTTTTGTGGCCCCATAGGGAGCTCCACAGACGGCCCCCGTGGCACCGCACGCATGCGTCAGCCACCACCCAGCACAGCGTTTCGTGGCCCCATGGGGGACTCGACTGATGGTCCCACTGGGACCGCCCGCATGCGTCAGCCACCACCCAGTACAGCGTTTCGTGGTCCCGTCAGGATTCCACCGAAGGTCCCACTAGGACTGCCCGCATGCGTCAGCCACCACCCAGTATAGCGTTTCGCGCCCCCATTGATTGGGAGCTCCACCAAGCTCCAGTGGAACCGCTCGCATGCGCCCCCCCCCACGGTACAGCGTTTCGTGGCCCCGTATGGGGGCTCCGCCGAAGGCATCAGTGGCACCGCCCGCGTGCGCCAGCCACCACCCAGCACAGCGTTTCGTGGCACCGTAGGGAGCTCCACAGAAAGACCCCAGTGGGACCGTCGCGTGCGTCGTCCACCGCCCAGTATTGTATTTCGCGGCACCATTGACTGGGAGCTCCACCAAGCCCCAGTGGAACCGCCCGCATGCGACCCCCCACACGGTACAGCGTTTCGTGACCACCGACGGCCCCAGTGGTACCGCCCGCAAGCGCCCCCTCCCAGTACAGCGTTTCGTGGCCCCATAGGGCACCGCCCGCATGCGTCTCCCCCTCACCCAGTACAGCGTTTCGTGGCCCCGTTGGGGGCTCCACCTAAAGACCCCAGTGGCACCGCCCGCATGCGTCTCCCCCACCCAGTACAGCGTTCCGTGGCCTCATCGGGAGCTCCAGCCAGGGGCACCGCCCGCATGCGTCAGCCATCATCCGGTACAGCGTTTCGTGGCCCATAGGGAGCTCCACCGAAGGCCCCACTGGCACCGCCCGCATGCGTCTCCCCCGCCCATTACGGGACGTCCCTCACGCGTTTCGTGGCCCCACAGGGAGCTCCACCGAAAACGGCACCCGCAACGCGTTATTCACACATGCGTATGGTTGGGTCTGTCGCCAGGATATGTTTTCGCTTTGGCAGGGGGATGCAGGAGACAGTTAGGGCAAACACAACGAAACCAAAACGAAAAACGACGTTTAGGTCTGTCACGCGCCGCTCTGTCACGCGCTGGCCACGGCATGGGCCTGCACGCACGGATTCCGTGGAAGTGGAGATGAAGCCGTGCCCCGAACATGCTCGATTGTGGCATGCCTCTTCCTCCTCCCCCTCCTCCTCCTCCTCCTCCTCTTTCCCTCTTTCTCCTCCTCCTCCTTCTCCTCCTCCCTTTGCCTCCCCCCCCTGTTCATAGAAATAGACTTCTGGCCAAACCATGCCTTTCAAGGCGACCACCCTGCAGGATGCGCAAGTGCATCGTGCCTCCGTGCTGGCCAGCCTGCAGCATGTGTGCGCATGTGTTGCGTGCGTGGTGACCGCTTGCAGGAGAGTCGCAGAGACGGGGCCCCGCAGCCTGCTCTGTTGGCCTCACGCGCGATAGGGTGGGTGGTACTGGGGGTGACCTAAGGTGGGGGTGAAGAGAGGGAGCCCCGACGGGACCCTGCAGGACCCCTGTTGCGGAGCCAGCAGGGGCGCAAACGGGACCCACCGGGTTTCCGGTTTCCTCCAGGGCACATTCCTTCACCACGGCTTTCGCCCCCCCCCCCCCCCTACCCCCTCCCTACCACCCGCCCGATGCGAGCTCGGGCACCTCGGCGGTACCAGCCACGGGCACCTCGGTAATGCCGTGCACCGTGGGTCAGCTGCAGGGGCGCGAAGAGAGTCGCGCTTCGCGCTTCGCGCTTCGCGCTGTGCGGCCAGGGCCAGGGCGCTGCCCTTCTCCAGGGCGTCGCCGTGGGAGCTCGAGCACGACCCTCGGGCCGCGCCTCACACGGCGCCTGGGCGCGAAGTCAGGTGACCTCGGTACTCCTCCTGCTCCCTCGCCGCGCGCTTATCACCCCCCTCAGAAGTGGTCTTTGGGGGTCGCCTGGGGATCGCCTGGGGGTCACACGGGAGCCCCAACGAGCCAACTACGTTCAGGATTCTCCCGTCCTCACACACCACGCCACCGTGCCTTTGCACCAGCGAAGTAGTGAGGAGTGTGAAGTCTTGAAGCTTCGAGTATCCCCACGAACCCATCCAGAAGCGATCGCCAGGTGGGTTGCCCCGATCAAGGGGAATGTAGACGCATGCAGTGGAAGAGCCGCTCTGGAGGATCTTTGTTTGGGTCTTCTTTGTATCCTCTTGGGATCTTCTTGGGGCTCCCTCGGGACCCTCTTGGGGGCAACACTGAGGATGACGATGATGAGGAGGAGGAGGAGGAGAACGAGGACGAGGAGGAGGAGCAGGAGGATGAGGAGGAGGAGGATCATGAGGCGGACGGCGAGGACGAACACTGGGGCAATATCGAGGATGATTGCGAGGACGTCGAAGAAGACGACGAGTACGAGAAGGAGGAGGTCGAGGACGAGGACAAGGAGGAGGAGGGCGAGGGCGAGGAGGATGATGGCGAGGAGACGGGGGATGAGGAGGATGAGGAGGATGATGAGGCGGAGGAGTAGGAGGAGGAGGAGGAGGAGGAGGAGGAGGAGGAGGACCAGGAGGAGAAGTACGACGACGAACACAAGTACGAGTTCGAGGACGACGTACACGAATGCGAGGAGGAGGACGACCATGATGATGAAGCTGATGCTGATGCTGCTGCTGATGATGATGACGATGATGCTGTTGATGATGATGATGATGATGCTGCTGCTGATGATGATTCTGATGCTGATTCATGATGGTGATATTGATGGTGATGGCGATGATGATGTTGATGCTCATGATGCTGATGATAAGTATGCTGATGCTGCTGCTGATGATGTTGATGATGCTGCTGATGCTGCTGCTGCAGAAGATGATGATGCTGGTGCTGACGATGATGACGATGTTGATGATGCTGATGATGTTGATGCTTATAATGCTGC